GTGTGTCTTTTAAACACCTCAAGTAATAAATCAAATTACCTGGCACACTGGATGGTCCAGATGTACTGTATTCAGATGAGCTTATGACACCTATTTTAGAATGAAATGGTTAGGCTACTTTCTGTGTATAATTTTACTTTGTAAAATGATTTTTTTAATCTGGTGAATAAAAGATCCAAGTTTAGCAATGCTGATGCTAGCAGACTTAGACCAAATGAAGCTGTACAAAAATAAATTATCAACTGAACAACTTGTTGAAATAACAAAATTAAATGCCTTGTCACTAAATTAATAGACATCAAATTAATTTCTTCTAAGTCAGTTGTCTTAAAAAGTATCCAGGGAAGGAGAATAAGGTTGAGTAGAAAGGGCTCTAGAGCTCCTATCCCAGTGTCATCCAAACTTGCTCCCACTCTGAATTGCTTTATGTTTAGGAAATCTAGGTACTATTTCAATGCAATCTAAATTGTATATTCATAGAAACTAGGAACATGAAAACCACTAATCTAGATGAACTAACTAACGTCCAGAAATTCAGAACCTGCCATTGCAAAGCCACTAGGTTTCCGGTCATTAGACACACCATCAGAAAGAACACTACTTAAAAAAAGTCTACCTGATATGAATAAATTAAAGCAGTCAAAATATGACAGCCAAATAGTAGAAAAATCTCAAATTGGTAACTACTCCAAAATAGAAATATAAGAATGAACTGATTCTGAATTCATTTCTCAGGAACAACACTTAAATTTCAAGACCTCAGCAAATGGCAGTAAATCTGGAGTTCAGCAATTTGGTGTCTTTAAACCCTTTGCAACAAATGTGATGACAAAAAAGTAGTGCCAAGAAATAATGAATGACTTCAAATTTCTTAGATCCATTGAAGTATTGACTTCAAAACTGATGTCCAAAGAGTAACAACAACAAAAAATTATTTCCATATGACAAGGACTTTTTTTTAACAGATTCATTAATAGTTAATCCTGAGTTAGGTCACCATTACTACATATCTCTCACTAATTAGATTTCACTTTTTAAAAAAAAATAGTATTCCACAGTTCTGTTGTCATCTACTCTCATGACCCTCAAGGCTTTAAAGCACTGCTAACAGCACCAAAACAGCTCCCACATCCAGAGCAAATATTATTTTAGCAATTTGTACTGCAAATTCAAAAACTATTCAATCTAATGTTTTCATTAAGTGGAAATAATAAATTTTATGAGATTTTCAGAAAGGATACAACTCTCACTCTTCTCAGAAATCGACCTGCAAACAAAACTTAAGCCATCTATTTCAGATCCAGGATACAAAGTTTGAGCCTCAAAAATCAGCTGCTATTTTAACCACCTCTTCAACTGACTCCAAATCAATTTTGCACAAAAGTAACAAAAAGAATTCCACATTGATATATTCACAGCTATAAAACCAGTTCCACATCCTATGCTAATGAATGTTAAGTAACTTTTGCCTGATTATATCTAAATCCATTTCAACATTTGAGGATTCAGGCTTGCTTTTTTTAAATAGGTTTTTAATTGTCATTGTTATTTAAAAATGTATTTTAGAATTCTGACTTTTTAATAATAAGAAATAAAGCTCAATGCCTAAGCCTTGGGAACCCAATTCAGTACCATATCCTTTCTGTCACCACAGGTACCTGTACCACTAAGGCCAGTTTCACCAAATTTGTCTAGTCCAGAAGCACCAACATCAAGGCCAGCTGCACCCTTACTTTCTCCACCACTTCCCGAACCAGAAGACCAAGTGTTTCCTCCTAATGGAAAACCAAAATGTGATTAAAAGAAATAGGAAAAAAGAAAATAATTGGAATTTCCTGGGAATAGAATGCAGGTTAAGATACCTGAGTCACTGACATCAGATCCAGGACTCAAGTATCCAGCCTCAGCAGATTCACTGCTTCTCTTTCTATTTACACCACTTCCACTGACTTCAAATCCCTGTTGATTAGTTGACCCCAATTTGACTCCTGAGTCTTCAGAGACAACACCAGAATATTCAACCTCATTTCTTCCACTTGAACCATCTGTCGAATACAAAATGAGAGTCACAACAATTACTTACAACACATACCATGATTCAGAATTGTTCTGTGCACAGGAATTAACTATTAGTACCTACAGTACCAGAACTAGATCCTTCCAAAACTACCTACTCCATTTCTATCAAAATCTTTACCACTACGGATATTTTCATCAAACAGATTTGAACTAGAATCTCCAAAACCAAATTCAGGTCCCCCTTTTTTTCCAGGTCAAAAATAATTGTTAAAAAACTGAACTTTCTCACTGACAGAAAAATAAAATATTAATAAAATAATGGATGACAAGTTGAAATCAATTTAGATTTCACCAGAGCAGAGTCCAAGACTAGACTACATGAGTCACTGACATCAGATTCACCACTGCTCTTACCATTCCAGTTGGATTCACTGCTTCGAAATCCCTTTTGATAAAATGTCTCAAAACCCAAACCCAAATTGTCAGATATATCACCAAAAAATGTATTCCCATTTTTTGCACTAGTATCACTTGCAGAATATAAAATGTTTATCATCAAAACACATCTCAGTAAGCTTATGATTCAAACTTCTTAGGCACAGAAATTAAATATTAACATTGAAACCACTGGAACTAGACTCTCTAGTAACTTGTATTTCACTTTCAAAGGTCATTGTCACCAAATTGATTTGAATCAGAGTATCCAACTACAACCTTCTTTCTTCCACGTCCAAATTCAAGAGATCCAAGTATTCCCACTATCAAAAAAATTAAAATACTTTAACATAAAGTAGCGAATATTTCCAACTTAGTGGGTACCTCGGGAAAAGAGACTAGGTGGGATACCTGAGCGACTGGCATCAGATCCAAGGCCTTTGAATCCAGTCCCAACAGATACACTGCCACTTATTCCATTCCCTCCAATTTCATTGATTCCAAATCCCTGCTGACCAGAATCCCATAAATTGGATAGCACATTTCCAAAGCTACTGTCAACAAATTGATTCACACTTCTTAAGCTCATATCACCTGCAGAATATAAAACAATTGTCAGAGAGTGCATTTGAAAATGTCTTTATGTTTCAGACATTTATATGCACAAAAAATTACACTTTTTTTTTGCTAATAATGTCACTGTCACTAGATGAATTTGAATCAGCAAATGTAAAACCAAACACATTAGCTTTCCCTGCTCCAGGTTCTAAGTCAGAAGACCCCATTCCAATAATGGAAATATCAGTGTTTTTAAAATTAATCATTATTCATCAATTTGTTGTTAAATAGTATTAAAGTAAAAGGCTTTTAACCATTAATTAATTGAATTAATTTTTAAATTTCAAGAAATGAGTCTTAGTTTGGAGACCTGAGCTACCTGCATCAGATCCAAAGACTGTGGTATGACCCCCAGCAAATCCACTGCAGCTAATTTCACATCCATCCACTCTACCGAATCCTATTCCCTTTTGACCAAACGTCCCCAAACCAAATCCCAAATCTATAGAGGCACTGCCACTCTATCCAGCCCCACTTCTAAGACTGGAGCTATCTGCTGAAAATAAATAAATAAATAAATAAATAAATAAATAACATTGTCAACAGGGAATATCTAAAACACATCTTATGATTTTTATTTTAGTGGGAAAAAAAAACCCTAGTAGCAATATCCAGATCACTAGAACTTAATTTCCAGTGTTCCCTATTTCTTTCTCACCAAAGTCTTTGTTTATGACCACCAATACTGACTTCACTAGAGCCAGAATTACCAAAACCGAATCCACCCTTTTTTCACTACCAACTCCAATGTCAAAAAGCAAAATGCTTCTACCTAATGACAAATTAAAATGTTATCAAGAGCAATAAACAAAGAATGAGAATTATTTGTATTTTTAATTAAGAAACTCTGAATCAGAATTCCTGAGTCAGTGACACCAGTGCCAAGGCCCATAAATTTACCACGAAGGAAGTCTTTGCTGTTCTTCCTGCTTCTACCAATGTCCACATTTTTAAAGGTAAATTGCTCTGACTGAAAAATACTCGGAGTTGCTATAATTTATTGGCACTTCCTTCATTGACTCTAATTTTTAAATGTAAAATCCTATTTATCCACACTTTTGTAAATTTATTTTTTGGCACTATTTTCCAAGAAAACTAGTTCAAACATGAGTAGTAGAATTTTAAAGTTAACATTGTAAATGTCATACATACAAAACATAAGCCCCAATTAATTTTGTACAAGATGACAAAACATGGGAACAAGAGAGGTTAAATGGCTTTCTCAAAGTCCACAGCAGATTAGTGTGAAAGACTAGGGACAGAAACTGGGTCTCTTCCTTTAGGGTCTAAGCTCCTTTAATAAAAGCCTTCAATCTACTTGCCTCTTCTCTAGTGTTTAAATGACTGATTTCTGTTGAAAATAACACAGATCCTTTAAGAATCAAACATATAGTCTACACATTTTTCTCATGAATTTCTCTAATGCTAAATCTGTATTGGTCAAAAACATCACCAATCCCTGCTCTGCTGATAAATCAATTTTTCTGTCAAAACCAGAAACTAAGAAACAACTTAGAATACCTGTTTCCCTGGCAGCAGAATCAGAACCAGCTAATCCATACACTGATTTCACATCAAATCCATTTTGGTCAGATGAACCCCTACCAATTTCATTTTGATTTGAAGCAATGCCAAATCCAAATTCCATACCACCAGAGACACCATTCGCAATACCATTCGCTGAACTGGTTTCATCTACCATACAAAAATACAATCATTACTAGAGAAAAGTAACATTCATTCATATAATACAATTTACCATAAGATCTGAGAGACTTTCATAAGAAAAGCAAAGTTTTGGGGGCATTGAAGACAAAGATAGAACATGAGGAAATAATTAACGTCTAAGTATTTTAATAAGAGGAAATACATCAGCCTTAACATTTGAGTCATATTGAGTTTGTTGATCCCAAACAGGTAATTGAAAAAACAGAAAATGTTTCCTTCCTAAAGGTATCTCAAACATACCTCTATACTCAAAGTCATTTCTACCTTTTTACCACATAGACATGAATATTAAATTTTAATATAAAATATTAAAGTTATTTTCCTCACTGGGACTGCTTCTTTCTAATTTGGAGGAGGAACAATCTATAGAGATTCAGAAAACATGCAAGTACAGGAAAAGTCTGAGTAGGCAAGTCAGCAGAAATGTGTTGCACCAGAGAAGGCATGCCTCGTTTAAAGAACTTTATATTTTCTCCTCTAAAAACAAAATTGCAATCCACACATTTAAAAACCATTCCTTATCATATTATTTAGCAAACTGGACATGTAATTTAAATAGGGAATCTTGTTGCAGAAAATAAAATGTGGTTAGGTACAAAAATATCAATGGAGAGAACCTACACTACATTTGGGACCAGGAAGCCTTTTAAAACTATGAATTTATACATTAAAAAAGTCATCAAAATGAATAATAACAATAATACCAAGTATAAAGATAGCATAAGAAAAAATTTATCAGAAAAACAATTTAATGTAAACCTATTTGCCAAAATTCTCTAAAAAACGAATTTATCACTCCCTTTGGCAGTAAAATTAGTGCCTTAAGCATCTCTATTACTATTAAGGTCATATTCTGCAAATAAACAAAGATTACCAGAATATCACAAGTGAGAAAAAGTCATTTCCTTCCTAGGTAAGTATTTTTCTGCTAAGAGTACCTGCTGGAGTGTCTTCTATCTTTGAACTCTCAGCATCCCGAAGATCTCTTGCCCTGTCTTCAGCCTCACCTAAAGCACCAAATCCAATGCCAAAGAGTGGTTTTTTACCATCTGAGTCACCAAAAGATGAGATACCATAGAAAAAGTCACCTATAGCAAATAAAAAAAGATTGTATTTGAAAGCAGCATTGCTAGCATAGCATATAAAGGTGGTCTGATTATGACACTATGAAAAACCACGTAAGTCCCCTTATTCTGGCAGCCCTTGGAACAACATACACCACTGGTAGACTAACCCACCTCATCTATATCTTTTTGATAAGGTTTTAAGACCTCAAGAAAGAGGGCAAAATAGAGTTGTAAAGATTCAGTAATTGATGTGTACTAGAAACTCTTCTTCTCCTGAACAGGGTAGAAATTTTCCTGTCTGCTTCCTTCTCCATTACTAAGCCCCAAGTTCCAGTGCCCCACCTCCCTCCATCAAAGTATTCTGCCATGGTTGAATCCATACTGTCCTTTGCTATTGCACCTCATAACTGATAAGATGCCTGATTCTCCTTGCTATACTTCTACAAGGGACAAAAGATGAAACCATGAACTCATAAAGTAATTGATTCACCTCTTTCAATTCTTAGCTTAAATTTCATCTCAATAAGTTACACTCTGAAGACTTAAAACTGCAACCTTACCCTCTCCCTTACACTTGCAGTTGCCATTGTGTTACTCTATTTTGTACCATAGATTTTACCACCCTGTAACAGACAAGGTGTAACAAATCACTTTTATCACTGTTAATAATGTTGATTGATTCTTGATTGTATCCTTCTACATTTTAAGCTTTGAAAAGCAAAGATTCTTTACCTGTTCTATTTACTGAGACACGCAGGTTATCTAGACCTGTGCCTCAGCAATAGAGGGCACTCAATTAATGTTTAGTTAGTAAAGCATTCACCAACAAGCACCTCTTCTAAAGGTTATGTATACCTTGTTACATGAGGCATTTGTACTTTCTATCACACTAATTACATATACATATTTAAGTATCTACAATATGTTTTCTATCACGTCAATTCCATATACATATGTATCTACAATAACATTAAAATACTTTAGAATTAATAATATCTTAATAACTGTGATATTCCTGTAGAGTTAAAGAATACATACATTTTTGTCACCAAATAGACTAGAAAATGATATGCATGATTTGTAAGTAATATTTGAAGATTATATAAGGACAAATACAAATAAGCAGTTTAAATCTTCCCATTAAAATAAAGAGATCTCCTACAAACACTTTTTTTTATCATTTACTCTAGAAAACTTGTGAGTTCTTTCTCTACTCTCTGAAATATATAAAAATCATTTTTAAAACTAAATGAACACTTCAGGAATGTTTTCTCTAGAAGCTAGGGGCTAACACTTTGAAATGTGACTATTAAGGAAGGTAACTCCCCATCTGCTAGGTTTCTGAGAGGGAGGAAACTAACTTTAGCTGGTGTCTGGCTACAAATTGCACACCTGCCTCTAGTTATTAATACACAAAAACTCATTTTTTTCTTTTAAAAGCAATCAACAAACACTGGTGGCTGTCCAACTACCAAGTAAATTTAGGATGAACTATGAGTGATAAATGGTGCTGTCAAGTCTATTTACTTAAGAACTAGTTGTTATCTTCACAAATTATATGCAATGGATTGTATCTCTTGTTTTATAAAAGAGAGATTTCCTGCTTCTTTGCAATCTCTTTAGCAGAATGTCTATCATATGAATCATATTCCAGTTTAGTGCTTACTTCACAAAAACACTGCTTTCTTTCTCTTCTAGTTTCATGGAGAGGTTTTCAGAGGGGGTGGGAGATTTTGTTTTTAAATATATTTTAAACTACCACTCTTTGTATTTTTAACAATTTTTAATGTCAGTAGTAAATATATATCTATTTTTCTAAAGCAAATAGTAAATAACATATTTGTGTGCTTATGAGAAAAGTAAAATAATAGTCTATAATGTAGTCTGAGGGAGAAGCACTCAATATTTAACATACTTGAAATTATAAAATTTGCATGTAAGTGGTTTAGGAGGAAAACAAGCGCTTGAATGAGGTATCACCTTACTAGGTAACCCAAACCACTGTAGTTCTACTCTTCTCCGCATGGAAGATCTCCCCTCTGTGTCTCCTCTTTCCCTCTACTCATCCCTCTTCACTATACATTCTTCCTCCTTTCCTTTTTATCCTCTCTCTCATCATCTTTCTTTAACGTCACGTAGTTTCAGAACCGGTCCTTAACATGTTACTATTTTAATTTCATGGTAAAGTAGAAGGAAGCAAGCCAGTATTCAGCCATGGAAAAGTATGGACATTTGAGTAAGCCCATCTGGGATTCCTCACTTGCAGTCAGAATGGCACTGGACCTCTCTTACACTCAGGCAAGAGGGATTCCTACTCTGATCTATGCAAATCTGTCTCTGACATTCCTTGTGTCACAACACTCTTCAGAGAACACGGAATACAAGCCAAGTGTCAAGGGGCCACACTTACCCAGAGCTTGTGCCATCTACTCCTCTTTTCTGAATTTATTTCAAGACTGCAGGGCTGCAGCCTAGGCCTACTCCCTAGACTTACATTGGCATCTTTCTCAAGATTTAAAAAAAAAAAGTGGAAGGGCACTTGCTTCCTAGGTAAGAGATATTTTTTGCTAACAGTACCTACTGGGGTTTCTTTTAACTTTAAACTCTCAGTATCCTTGACTTGTCATTCTCTCAGCTTGTCTTCAGTCTCTCCTGGAATGCCAAAGCCAATGAAGTGACAGCCGAAGAGCTGGGTGCTGCTGTTCTTGATGAGATCCACATCACCCCTCTCCTCACCCCATCCCATCGAAGGCAATGAGGATGCATCTCTCATGGAAGAAGAAGTAGATTAAAAGTTTTTATCTGTTGCTCCCTGTATAGTGTCCCCATGGCTCCCACAGCAGCCTTGAGTGGCTCTGTCCCACTTGGATCCTTTGGCTGATATCTAGTGGTATTTTTTCTCCTGGTCTAAGGAAAGAAACAAGGGCCTCATTCTCTCCCTAATTTAACAAGATTGAATGTTGAGTATCACGTGTTTTTTGTACATTTTGTTCTGAAATTAAAGTATGTGAAATAAAGAAATGCCGTTTTATACCAAAAAAGCCACCTATAGTAAATAACAAAAGATTTTATTTGAAAACACCATTGCTAGCACAGAATATAAAGGTAGTTTGATTATGACACTATGAAAAGCCACATTTTATTTTGTGCTAAGTTCCATTTTCCTGGCAGAACTTGGAACAATATACAGCACTGGTTGACTTAATCACCTTATCCATATGTTTTTGGGGTCCTGCTCTGATCCATGCAAGTCTTACTCCGGTCTTTCTTGGGTCATGAAGCTCCTCATAGAGAAAAGACTACAGGCTGAGAATCCAGGGCCCATGCCTACCCAGAACCTGTACTCTTATAGATCTGCGGGATGACACAGGATGGCCAATGTGCTAAAATAGATGAACCAAGATAGGTAAACTGTGTTATTCCTCCAAGTGTGGCACAGAAACAGAAGGAACAGAGGTCTAAAGGCTAAGGTATGACCCACCCTGTTTTTGTATTGAATTCCAATGAATCTGAAAATTCTGTATTGATACCTGCTATACAGGTTGTCAAAAATGTATTTTTGTAAAGGGAGAAGAAAAAACATATTTTATGTATTATTTTATTCATTGTAGCTGCAAAAAGTTTTTCATTATGTGCACATCTGCATTTATACCCTTGACTCTACTGTGTCCATGGCCTTTGCTTGAATAAGCAAATGAACATGTCTAAAACAAAATTTCTTTGAGCAAAGTTTTCTTAATTATTAAACTAACTACTTAACAACTGAGACTAAAACAATATCAACTTCACAGAAAGACAGAAAATTTTGTGACTCCTAAAGATATTTCAACCTCTCCCCCATAACCACTACTGCTTCTGTCTTTTCACCACAAGAACACAAATATCAAATTTTAATATAAAATATTGAAGTTATTTTCCTCTCGGAACCTCCTTCTTTCACATTTTTGTACAGGTACAAGCTATAGAGATTTCAGGGACCAGACCCTCCCAGAAAGTTTGAATAGGTCCTGTTTGAAGAAGTTTGAAAAATGTCAAACAAGAGAAGATATGCCTCCACTAAAAAAAAATTTAAATTCCACCCCCAAAAGAAATTACAGGCCATAAACTGTGTAAAGGCTCTAAATAATAATATTCAAAAAACTGAAAGTGTAAATTAAACGGATAATCCTGGTGTAAGAAATAAATGGTTGGAAACAGAAGCATGAATGGAGAGAACCTGCTTTACATCTGTGTCTGGAAAGTATTTTAATGTTTAATTTTTATAGTGAAAGATAGCATGAAAATGAGTGGTCATAATAATAATAGCACCAAATATGAAGAGTGCATGAGAAGCTAAAACATTCCCAGAGAAACAATTAACTCAGTGTAAAATTATTTGCCAAAATTATCTAAAGACAGAATTCATCACTCTCATTGGCCCTAGAATTAATGCCTTCAGAATTTCCACTATTTCAATTCCACTATTTTCTCAAAAAAAAATAAAGATTAACAAATTACCCCCCAAATTTTTTAAGTCACTTGCTTCATAGGAAGTACTTTTTCTGTTAACAGTACCTGCTGGGGTGTCTTCCAACTCTGAACTCTCAGTATCCCGACGTTCTCTTGCCCTGTCTTCAGTCTCCCCTAAAGTACCAAATCCAATGTCAAAGAGTAGCTTTTTACCATCTGAGTCACCGGAGGATGAGCTACCATAGAAAAAGCCACCTATAGCAAATAACAAAAGATTATGTTTGAAAACAGCATTGCTAGCACAGCATATAAAGGTGGTCCGATTATGCCACTATGAAAAGTCACATTTTATATTGTGTAAGTTCCATTGTTCTAGCAGCTCTTGGAACAATATACAGCACTGGTTGACTTCATCACTGTATCCATATCTTCTTCAAGTTCCTACTCTGATCTATGCAAGTCTTATTCTGGCCTTCCTTGAGTCATGGTACTCCTCAGAGCAAAGACTATAAGCCTAAAGTCAAGGAGTCAAGCCTACCCAGAACCTCCACCTTCCCCTTTTCCATTTCTTACTTTTTTTTCTTTTGGTCTCAAATGATTCTTTTTAATGAACATCATTATTTTTATGGCTGAATAGCATTTCATTTTGCATGTATATCACAATTTCTTTATCCATTTGTCTGTTGATGGACACTTAGGTTGATACCATTGCACTATTGTAAATAGTGCTGCAGTAAACATGGGAGTGCAGGTACCCTTTTGATATACTGCTTGCCTTTCCTTTGGATAAATACCCAGTGGTGGGATTGCTACAAAATATTCTAGTTCTATTTTTAGTTCTTTGAGAAACCTTCACAATGTTTTCCATAATGGCTCTACTAATTTACATTTCTACTTTCTTTTCACTGCATTCTTGCCAGCATTTGTTATTTTTTGATAATAGTTATTAAAACTAGGGTGAAATGATATCTCATTATGATTTTGGTTTCCATTTCCCTGATGGATGGTGATGTTGAGAACACCTAAGAAGAAATCACAGGAGAAATGTCTTAGAACATTGGTCAAGGTAAAGATCTTATAGCTAAGACTCCAGAAATATAGGCAACAAAAACAAATGGAACTATATTTTACTACACAGCAATAAAAAAAGTGAAGAACTAACACACAGAATGGGAGAAAATATTTGCAAACTATTCATCTGACTAGTAACTAATGTGCAGAATACATAAGAAATTCAAAGAACTCAACAGTAAAAGAGCAAATAACTAGATTAAAAAGTGAGTAAAAGATCTAGATAGACATTTCTTAAGAGAAGACATACAAATGGCCCTTTTCCATTTCTAGACCATATTCTAAATCCTCATGGCAGCAGCCCAAGTTTGCTGCTTGGTCCTGCATGGACATCTTTCCTAAAATCCTTTTTCAAAGTTGAGACCACACTGAAAAGATGAACCTCAAAGTCAGATGGAAGGTTAGGGGTGGCCATTGTGCCGAAGTCGATGGACTAAGATAGGTAAGCTGGGGTATCCCTCCAAGTGTGGGACTAAGCCAGGAATGGAAGGAGCAGGAGTGAAGGGACCTTGGCCAGGGCAGTTAGTCCTGTTTTTGCAATGAATCTGCAAATTCTGCATTTAATATGATTTTCAGGTTGTCATGGCATATTTTTGTCAAGACAAAAATAAAAATATAAATATAATTTTGCTTTTTTTTTTTTGAGTTAGAGTCTCACTCTGTCTCCCAGGCTGGAGTGTAGTGGCACACTGAAGGCCACCCCAGAGTCAACCTGCTGGGCTCAGGTGATCCTTCTGCCTCAGCCTTCCAAGTAGCCGGAATTACAGGCACATGCTACCACACCCAGCTAATTTTTGATTTATTGTAGAAACGAGGTCTCGCCGAATTGCCTGGGCCGGTCTTGAACCCGTGGGCTCAAGCAATCCACTCACCTTGGCCTCCCAAAGTTCTGGGGTTACAGGCTGAGTCACTGAGTCCAGCCTTGATTTTTTTAAGAGACAGGGTCTTGCTCTGTCACCCAGGCTGGAGTGCAGTGGTCTAATCATAGCTCACCACAATCTCGAACTCCTGTGCTCAAACCATCCTCCTGCCTCAGCTTTCCAAGTAGCTAGGAACACACGTACAGACAATCATGCCCAACTAATTTTTTATATATTTTTGTTTTGTAAAAATGGGGTCTCACTATGTTGCCCAGGCTGGTCTGGAACTCCTGGTTTCAAGTAAGTCTCCTGCCTCAGATTCTCAAAGCATTGGGATTACAGATGTCCAGCCTATTTTGTTCCTTTTATTTATAACTTTTCATTACGTATACATCTGCATTTATACTCTTGACACTGACTGTGCTCTTGATCTGTCCTTGGATAAACAATTTAAGTTTCGTAAAACAAAGTCTCTTTATCTATTATAAGGGGCACCCCCCCAAAAGGAAATTATTTTTTAAAGGGAGGGCCTCTTGTAGTACGGGTTTCCTAGGTAAGTATTCTAGGAACCTATTGGCATCGGTGTACCAGCTAGTATTGTGAGAGGCTGCATTCGGTTTCAGTGATTTTTTTTTTTAGATTCTTTCAATGCATTTACCCATTTCATGATGGGTGATTTACATGAAAAACCTGTACACAGCACATTAAGTTTTTGTCCAAAAAACGGCATGACCAACCCTTCACCCCTTGCATTCACCCGGCCTCTCCCCTAACGACTTTTTTGTTTGTTTCCTTGGATGCAAAAAGTCCCCAAAGGGAATCTTCCTGCCAATGTGGAAGAGATGAAACAAAAAAAAGGCAGAAACAACAAAAGGCATCAAAATTGATGAGTTCAAAAACTGTTTTGAGCAGTGGAAAAAGTGTCTCGATGGGTGTATTATATCAGAGTACTTTGAAGGTGACTGAAATTTAAGCATGTAATAAATACACAATTTTTTAATACATAAATTCTATTTGGGGGGGATACCCCCTTGTAAACAGGGACTACATGGTGAGGATATCAAATTCAGGGAAACAGAAAACTTTGTGTTCTTTCAAGGATATTTCAGCCACTCCCGTACACCCCCTGCTGCTTCTGCCTTTTCGCCACAGGAAAACAAATATTCATTTTTAATGTAAATATTAATGTTATTTTCTTCTCTGAATCTCCTTCTTTCCTATTTTGTAGAGGTACAGACTATAGAAATTTCAGTGACCAGGCACTTACAATAAAAGTTTGAATAGGCCAAAGGGAAGAAGTACGTTAAACCAGAGAAGACAAGCCGCTCCTAAACAATTTTTTTTTTCACTAAAAGATGCAGTTGCCGGTCATGAACTGTATAGAAAGGCTGCTTTATAATATCATTCAGGAAATTGAATGTGTAATATATAGAGAGAATCTTAGCATAGAAAATAAATGGTGGTTGGATATAGAAACATGAATGGAAAGACCCTATACCACATGCGTGTTTGGGAAGTATTTTACTGTTTATTTTTTATATTGAAACATAGCATAAAATGAGAGGTTATTGTAATAATAGTATCAAGTATAAGATAGTATGAGAAAATGAAAAATTACCAGGGAAACAATTAATGTAAACGTCTTTGTCAAAAATCTCTAAAGACGGAACTCATCACTCTCATTGGCTCTAGATAATTCTAGACCTTTAGATTCTCCATTGTTTTTATGAAGGTTATGTCTTCAAATAAAACAAAGGTTATCAGTTTATCCCAAATGTAAAAAAAAAAAAAAATCACTTCATGGGAAGTATTTTTTTCACAAATGGTATCTGCTAGGGTGTCTTCTAACTTTGAATTCTTAATATCCTGACGTTCTCTCAGTCTTGTCTTCAGCCTTTCCTGGAGCGCCAAAGCCAAAAAGTGGCTTTTTTTCATCTAAATCACCGGACAATGCTGTTTTATTTGAAAAACATCATTGCTAGCACAGACTATGAAGGTGGACTGATTGATACTATGAGAAGTCATTTATTTTGTGTAAGTCTCATTCTGTCAGTCCTTGGAACAACATAGAGCACTGATTGACTTAATTACCTTATCCATATCTTTTTTTATCATGGTTCTAAGACCTCAAGAAAGAGAGAACAATAGAGTTGTGAAGATTTAATAATTGATGTGTACGAGAAACTCTTTTTCTCCCGAGCATGGCAGAGACTCCCCCGTCTGCTTCCTTCTTCATTCCTGAACCCCAAACTCCAGTGTCCCACTTCTTCACATTGCTGTTGTCTCCCCAAACTCCAGGGTGAAATTTGATCTCTGTTTTGAAGTTGGGGCCTAGTAGGAGGTGTTTGGGTCTTTGGGATGAATCTCTCCTGAATAGCTTGGTATTGTCTTCATGGTAGTAAGTGAGTTCTCACTCCATTAGTTCTCACAAAGCTGTAGTCAAAAGAGTCTGGAACCTCCCCCATCTTTCTCTTTCTACTTCTCTTCCTTTGTGGTCTCTGTACATGCTGGTTGCCCTTGGCCACCCACCAAGAGTGGAAGCAGTCAGAGTCCCACACCAAAAGAAGATGCTGGTGCCATGCTGCTTCTACAGACTACAGAAACATGAGCTGAATAAGCCTCCTTTCCTTATAAATTATCCAACCTCAGGTACTTCTTTATAGAAAGGCAAATGGACTAAGAGACCCATAAAAATATTCTGCCATGTTGAATTCACACTATCCTCAGCTACTGTACCTTATAGTTGATAAAATTAAGATAACATACCTGATTCTTTTTCCTGTATTCCTGCAAAGAAGCAGAGAAGAAAACATTTACTCATAAATTAATTGTGGCATTTACCTTCTTTGAGTCTCAGCTTAAATTTCATCTAAATGAGACACATTCTGTCTACTTAAAATTGCAACCCCATCCCTATCCTTACTCTCCCAATTTCATATTACTCCATTTTATTCCATAGATTGTACCACCTTTTAATATACTGTGTTCGTGGCTTATAATATTTTTCTTTACTGAGTACATCCTTCTTCTAGATTTTAGGCCTCATAAACTCAAGGTTTCTTCCTATTTTATTTGCTTACATATTCCAGAAGTATAGAACAGTGCCTAAACCACAGAGAGTACTCAATTCATATTTATTTGATAAATACATTCGCCAACAAAGACCACTTCTTAAGGGAATATACTGTCTTACATAAAGCATATGTGCTTTCCATTACACCATTTATATTTTTTGAAATCTCTACAATAAAGTTAAAATGTGTTAGAACAAATAAAGTCATAACTATGACATTCCTGTAAAGTTGTGGAAAACATATATTTTGATCACTGAATAGACAAGACAAGGAAGTACATGATTTGTACATAAAAACTGAAGCATATGTAAAAGCAAATACAAATAAAAATAAGTGGCTTAATTTTCCCTGTTAAAAATAAGAGAAAATGAACGGGCACGGTGGCCCATGCCCATAATCCCGGCACTTTGGGAGGCCAAGGTGAGAGGATTGCCTGAGCCTACGGGTTCAGGACTAGTCTGGGCAACTTGGTGAGACCTCATCTCTACAATAATCTTCTTTTTTTTTTTTTTTT